TTGCAAAATTATAATAAATTATAATAAATGCAAAATTATATCTAGAGTAGTAGGATGCTGGTGATGATACGATACTCAATACAGGAAGGTATCTCTTGCTAATAAGTTGCAAAATTATAATAAATTATAATAAATGCAAAATTATATCTAGAGTAGTAGGATGCTGGTGATGATACGATACTCAATACAGGAAGGTATCTCTTGCTAATAAGTTGCAAAATTATAATAAATTATAATAAATGCAAAATTATATCTAGAGTAGTAGGATGCTGGTGATGATACGATACTCAATACAGGAAGGTATCTCTTGCTAATAAATTGCTGTTATCATTTCAATTCTTTGTTCACAGGATGAAGATCGTATCTTTACAAACTTGTATGGTCGCCATGATTGGAAGTTGTCTGGAGCACGTAAAAGGGTAGGTTAATTACTTAATTACATGACTTGGGCAGTCAGAGGGCCAATAACTAAAATCAACCAATCAAAATGCTCTATTGCCAGTCAATATTCTCTCAGTATTGGACCGGGCACTGTCCCGAATGGTCCCGAATGATACCGCATGTGTGTCCCTTTGAACTTCAGTCGTATAATAAATCTCTTATTAACCAAGTTTGCTCGGGACCGTATTGGAAGAATATCGGCCCTCGGTCTTTTTTGTACGGACCTTGCTGCGCTTGGTCCATACTGTCAAGACCTCAGGCTGATATTCTCCCAGTACGGCCCTCGCGCTTGGTTAATAAGATATATGTACTCACTCATGTTAGTGACTCTTGTAGCATGAAGGGACTAAGAGTGCTGTCAGAGTAAGCAAACTATTTTTGTACCTACTGTGCCTTCTTTCGAGGAAGGCTGTAAGTACTATGTTACAGTGTTGTGGAATTCTGTAAACCTCTCGTCAAGCCCTCTTAAGATTTCTAAAATGGCAGACTATTGTTAGACACTTGTAACATTTCTTGTGACTTGTCCTGGTTCAGTCTCCACAAGAGGTTCAGTCTTACCCAAGAGGAGCAGGTTTATCCCTAGTGCCAGGTACACAGGGTATACAAATTAACAAAGTTTAGTGTTGAAATAAAATTTGATGTACATTTAATACATGTACCTACTCCTGCCCTAACCATGGCCTTTGAATTGGCAGTGTACAAATCTGGTCTTACCAAGTCCTCCTTTTTGTCACGAGTTTGGCCTCGCCAAGGGCTGGGCATTACCCTTTTCTGCTTTTTACACCACATTGCTTTTTTACTGCAGCACTCTACAACTCCATAATAGTAGGCTCATGCAGTCACAGATTTAGTTTGTAGTTTTACAGACAGTTTTACATGTTTACATCTTTTCCTTCAGTTTGTCTTCTGCTAACTAAGGTAATACCCTTAAAACATAAGCCCTGATATATGCAATGGCAAGGGCAAGTTAAACTTTTGATCCTGGACAATCACCATCCACTGTTTCAACAACCAGGCCCAGGTAGAGAAAGCTTGTAACAAAAAGTCAAAATGTTTTCCTTTTTTTGTTTGTTTTGTTAATCTCAGGGTGACTGGTATAAAACAAAAGAAATCATACTGAAAGGGCAGGACTGGATCATCAAGGAAATCAGGAAATCTGGATTGCGAGGACGAGGGGGGGCAGGTTGGTTCTTAATTTTTTTTTTTTTGTGGCAATGTGCTGACATCTATATTGTAAAGAGGTTACATGTTTTTGATGTTTCTAAAATGTAAGAGAGATACTGTAAAGATTGTGTATAAGCTGCACCTTTTTGTCCAAGTGATGGGCCAAAAAATTGCAGGTGTCTTATACGTGGGACCATTGCTTAGTTCAGTATTTATCACTAGTAACCAGACTTCCCTTGTTAAATGACTGTGTGGTTCTCCTGCACTTTAGTTTTGTTCAAATTCCATCACTTTCATATAAGCTGTTAAGCAACATAGACAACTGTTGTCAGTCACAGAGAATAGGGAAACTGATTAAAGAAATTTAAAGCTTTTAAAAGGTATTTTCAGATTTGATTAACTTATTATGTTGCTGCAAATTCAGAACATTAGATTTCACCAAGTTTATTGTAAACATCTGCGAAGAAATGACCAACTTTTTACAAGAGTGCCTTTTTGGATATTTTTTTTCCCAAAATCTTTGAAAGTTGGGGGTACAGCTTTTACACAAGTTTTTATGGTATATCAATTTTCGTGCATGCTTTCAGGTTTTCCAACTGGTATGAAGTGGGGGTTTATGAACAAACCAGGAGATGGAAGGTATAGTGTACATGTTCAGGGTATTAATATTAGCAATTAGTATAATTTTGGAGCTGAGCAAAGAGTTTCCAGCAATCTGATTGGTCGAGCGGTTCCTTATATGACGTTATATAAACCGCTCCACACAGTTTATATAAAATGTTAAACTAAAATGTTAATAAATGTTGCTTAAATGTTATGAATTTAGAAATTCCTGTTGTTCAGCTCTGAAGTTATACTAAAACAATTATTCACCTCAGGTTCGGTGAATATTGTCGAATAATTCCCTCGACTTCGTCTCGGGGATTATTCGATGATATTCACCTCGCCTTCGGCGAATAATTGTTAACTAGTACGTATGTATCATTGACCAAGGGGGAGGTCAAGATGGTTGGATATTGGTGGACTTCTTTGCATATGTTTTTTTATGGACCAAGAGGAGGTTGAGGTCCAAAAAACACAAAGAAAAAGCAAGGTTAATATCCAGCCATCTTGACTGAATAAGCTTTTTCAATAAAAGATATACATTCACTTTAATGAAAATTAAGAATGACTTGTTTAATTTTTGAACCAGGAAGGAGAGCCAACTGAATTTGTAGCACAGTAAACCCACCAGGGTCATTGATTTTTTTCTTTAAAAAAAGAACAATTATATTATAGCAGTTTGAGAATTTAACTTTAAAAACTATGTTACATGCACCACTTTCATAAATGGCTGCTGGATTGATATTCTTTTGTTTAAATTCAAA